ACTAATGTGTCAGGATAGGAATATGAAAACATTCTGAATATGAAAATGTATTTTCTTCTCATAATTACTTCTTTTTTTACTTTCCACACAGACAGACACCTTAATTAGTTGTCTATTACAAGAGAGAGTAATGATCTTTTTAACAGAAATCTCAGGTCATAAGAGAGATCTAAGGTGGGAAGATGAAAGTTAAATACTTAAATTAATCAAAAGGCACTACACCATCACCTGAAACCTACTACCACAGTGGTAGGCTAAGGAAGATTAAACTACAGAGTGCAGTCATCTCATATAATTGTTAGAGATTATATAGCAGGAAGTGAGTTTGATTTCCACAAGACTATGTTAGCTGTGATCATTTGAGGCCAAGAGGATATTTGGCCAGGAAAAGTTCAAGATGGCTGAAAGTCAAGCCAAATGGAAAGGAACAGATACAAAGGAGAATCCAAGGAACAGATCTCAAGCAGAGGACAAATGGATCAGGCTTAAAAAAAGAAAAGCATTTGCAGCAACATGAATGGAGTTGGATAGGATTATGCTCAGTGAAATAAGCGAGAAGAAAAAAGAAAAATATCGGATGGTTTCACTTAGAGGAGGTATATAAGGTAACCAAACAAAGGGCCAGAAAAAAGACAAAACTTGCAGGCAAACTATAGATTGTGGCATATGGGAGGGAACGGAGAAGGAGAGGGGTCAAAACAGAGAAGCAAAGAGCACAAGTGACTATGGCGATGGTTCACAGGTGACTTGATGGTGGGAGATTTACGGGGAGACACATGAGGGGAGAAATAAAAGACTGTACAAAAATGAACAACAATGTAAAAAAAATAAAAGTTTAATAAAATAAAATAGAATAAACATAAAAAAAATTAACCATGATGGAGACCTATCTTTTGAGATGGGTGAAGCATGATTTTGCTCATGTGATTATTGTTCAAAGTCTTGGAAAGTACTAGGGTAATGCATCTCAGTAATAATTGCTCTGGTAAAAATACAACCAGTGTTGACCTTTGGCTCATGAAGATACACCACATTTTGCAGTTCTCCTGGCTCATGAGTTTGGTCGCAACTTAGAAATGAAACATGACCACTGACCTACAAGTGCCATGGCCAGAATCTCTGTACTATGCATGAATTATTACTATCGATATGAGCTTCAGCCAATGCAGCTTCCACTGGGTCTTGCATAAGCATTGAGGGGACTGCTTGTTTAGTAAACATAAACTCCAAATCTCCTTTGAAAAGTTGAGAATAAGATAATGGATAAAGGAGAATGTGATTGTGGCAGCGTCCTTGACTGTCAAAAGGACACTGTTGTCTGCCCTCATACTGGCTGAAGAAGGTTCAGATTGTACATCTGGATCATACTGCAAAAACCATAATTTTCTAAAGACAGCACATCTTGCCACCACATCCGTGTGTCTGTGGCACCTCCAAGTGATGCCAGTCAGATACCTACAAACAAGATGGCACACCTTGCAAAGAATAAGTTATTGCTACCAGGGTAGGTGCTGAAGCCTGGAGAATAAATATGTGCAAAATCTTTAGACAGGGAACAAAGGTTGCCTAGGAACATTGCTATCATTACATGAGTACCAAGGAAGGCAGATTTGGAAGCTGTGACACTGTATCTAAAGGAATGTTCAAGGTCTTCAGCAAGTGTAAGATCAACAATGTAAAATGTGGAAAGCTATGATGTAAAAACATTTAAAGGTTCCCATGCACTGAAAAACATCACTTACCCAGTTTCTCATGCAGAATATGTGGTATTGGAGTGTAGAGTTTTATGATGCCATAGGGCTGATTGGGGGAACTGAAGGATGGCCCACAGGAGATCTGTATTAATCAAACCTCTTTAGATACACTGATTTCATTATGACCGCAACCTGAATAAGTGTCGTGGGAGAAGTATTTACACTATTAAGAACTGCCACTGAGTGGGCCTCCCTGGTAGCGCAAGGGGTTAAGCACAGCTCTGTGAAGCTGTCCACAGCCTCTGAAGCACAAATTCGATCCCCGGTGACCAAGGAGCTATTCACATGGCCCGGCAGACCTCTCCTGACTCGCCTGCTGCTCCCCTCAGCAGTGCACTTCAGTCTATCTGCATGTTCTGTTCTCCACTCTGTCTCCGGTGAATCCTTTCATCTCCCGCAACTCTGGCTTGTACCCCAGTTCTTAAAACAAAACAAAAAAAAGAATTGCCACTGTGTCTATAGTTATGCCATTCCTTCACGTAAATTTGACCATTGGGGGTCATTTTTTAACAATGGCCCAGCTACACATGTCCCTCTGACTCTCAATGTGATGAAAAGCTGGTGATATTCATCCAGGTCTTGACTACCCTTTTATTCCTATCTCATTCCTATTTCTCATTCTTACATCCACAGACAATCTAAGACCAGTGTCAATGCAAATAATTCATCAGGGAAACATTTGATATTCACCTTCTTTCTGATAATAAAGCCAAATAAGAAGTGATACTGAAAGGACTTTCTAAGAATTAGACTCCTTAGTGCTGGTGTGCCTCAAGTTCTATGGAAACAGAAGTTCTTGCTTCCTTCTGTCTTTCTTATGTTGAATGATTATTAGTTTTTAAATTAAAAGAAGTTAAAGTAGCTCCCTAAGTGAAGCAAGCTTTGTTATTCTGTGCTATCAAGAAATCATATTTCCAGTTTTTAGAGCAATTAAAAGATGTTATTCCTGACAGAACCAGGCCAGGTTGCTCCCCATAGTTGAACTGAATCTTAGTCTAAAACCTAAAGAACTATCATTAATGTCTATAACATCTCTCTATAGAGAGCTCCTTCAGAAGATCTCTGAAATTTATTTTTTTATTATTTTGTGTAATCCTTCATAATCTATCAATTTTCTCTAGTCTTAAGATTTTTGCCTTCGGATTATCATGTGAGAAGCATCTGATATTAGTTCCAGATGTTTTCGTTGATTATCACTCCAGATTGTTACTCTGTCCATTTGGCTTTCCTCTATTTTTTGGCATTATAGTATCTGACACGCTGGCCTTAGATTGACATGGATCATAACGTAACTGGAGAGACCAAACATCACTTGTTATGTGATTAAAGAGGTAGGTATGATTAAAGAGGTAGGTGCCTACCTATGAACGAAGCTCTGTGGTCTGAGATATTTGCTTTAGCAAAAGGGTCAAATGCTACTTATTAGTCATTCATTCACTTGTTAATTTATTTACTCTATATTTAGCATGCACTATTAGGTTGAACCATGTAAAACTGATGACATTAGATAATTTTTAACCTACAAAAAATGGGGCAAGTTCATATAGTTTAACCTAATTCTATGTCAATGAAACCTACAATGGACTTGGCTTGTAAATGACAGTTGAGAGTTTTTTGATTGTTGATGATTTAGTCATGATTTTTCTTAAATCTTATTATTCTCTACATTACTGCCAAAGATTAGCCTTAAATTTGTAAAGCAGGATTGTCCTTAATGTCAATTTCTAGAACAGAATGGAACATATAAGAGACTAGGATGTGATATGTTTAAGGATAATACTGTCACTTCTAAATAGTTATTCTTGCTTCTTCTGAATTTCTAAAACTTCTCAAAGAACGGAAACCCAGGACTTTATTTGCCTGGCCTCAGAGGGAATAATAGATAGCAATGGCAAGATATGAGTGAGCTGTTGTATGCTACCTAATTCCTCAGTACACATGGAGTAGAGAGCCTAGAAATAGCAGCACATATTAAATAATAACCTGAAATTTATTTTTTGTAGGTGAAACTTAGACAAATCTAATATTCATTGAGGTAAAAAGTCTATTTCTTGGATAAAAAGTGGCTTCATCTTCCTGAACAAAAACTTTGTAAATCTAAAAATAATGGAGAGATACAGTACAATTCACTAAAACAGCAACTAACCATGGCACTATACTTCCTTTCACTTCATAGTCTAAGGCATGGTTAGACTTAAGATCTACCATTAAGTTCCCTGACGCTTTCCCAATCCACTTGGGTGGAATGACTACATTTCGGTAGAGGTGTTGGTAGCAAAAGCAAGGTTAGAGGCCAATGGATCAGGGCCCCTGCTATAGAATCTCTTCTGTGAGGATAATAATGGTGTCTGTGTGTCTGCATCACGCCGGGCCTCTTGCTTTAGTTGGTTGAACTTGTACTGTGTCCAGCCATATACTCCACAGTTGAGCACACCCTGGGATGATGCTGTTAGAGCCTGGAGGAGATGAAGGAGTGATGGAGCCCATTCTTCAAGTTTTCACAGATCCAGGGAATAGTCCCTATAGTCACCAAATGTTCCTATTCCCCTTACTTACAATGCATTGTTATATTTCCTCTATTTCAAACATCAAGACCTGGATTTTAAATACCCACTTTAAAATATTTTTGTAGCTCTTGCTGAACTCACTCTTCACATTGTACCTTGTCATGGATGACTGACTGAGAGTTGATCATATTTCTTAGTTTATATAATAGGACAATAAAGTGGTTTCAATGACCCTCTTTTGTTGCACATCTCTGAGAGTAGGTTTGAGAAAACTGCCTTAACAGCATAGACAGCCTGAAAAGGCTGACATTTGACAAAGGAAGAAAAGAGAATTGTTTCATTTCTCCTCGCATGTCCATTTCAACTAGAATAGCTAATTTATACCATTCAATTCACTCTGAATCAGAGAGAATCATGTCACTGTCACTGGTTCTTAAGAATATTATCATGTAGATACTGTTTTTTGTAATCTATCCTTTAAAAACACACAATAAAATGAAATTGATCAGAGATATATATGCTCCAGACTGCATGGTAGCATTTTCACAACAGTATCTACCTCATCTGTGAGAAATCTTTACATTCTCCATAATTGCAAGTGAATAAAACATTTTCTCTTTTGCAGTATAGATATAAATATCTGAGGGGGAAATTGTGCTCACTGAGTAATGGCAGTACAAGAGAAAAGAGGCAGAAAAGAGGTTGTGAGAACAGAGATGCTGCATGTTGAAAGTATTACCTGAAGAACATACAGGGCCATGTGAAGCTTGCTGTCCTTAGGTTTAGTCAGCTTTACAATGCTCAGAATGATAGCTGTGAAAACACAAAGTGTAAGCATTACTGCTATTTAAATTAAAATTATACTATGAAACACAAATCTCAGTCCTAGCTGCCTGAGCCTAGAATTCATCAGTGAACAGGCCTAAGCATTGTAAGAATGGAAGCTATATGCAAAACAAAGACCAGCAATGAGATTAACCGGTTAGATAAACTAGTAGGCCTCAGGTCACCAACTTCTATATATTTCTTATTAGTTAAACTTTGCAGGTGATTAGTCTAGCAATTATGGCAAAACATATTACAAGAAAATAGAAAGTTATATTTCTTAGCATTTAAGAGTTTATCAAGCTCTTTCATAAACATTATCAAATCTGGTCCTCACTTCAACTGTAAGTAGGAAGAGCAGGTATAACTATCTCATAGTTCAATCAGGACATTCCCTCTCATACCAGGTTGCATCTCATGTCTAATTTTTAAAGCATAAGAAAGAGGAGGAGGTTGCAAAAACTGACCAATGTAAATTTTATAAGCTGGAAAGGAATTTGCAGACGTCCTATGGGTAAGACCACTCTGCGTGATCAGCACCCAAACTGTGCTCTTCATCACCTAGCTTTCTCCACCACGATACCCACCTGGACCCCAGCAACAAAAGAAGGCCATTGGGTAGAAGCGCACTCGTTGCTCCACAATGCGAATCACTGCCCACTGCTCACTTCCCAGAAAACCAGTAGACTTCACAAACTTCTTATACAGTGTCTGGGCTTGGATGAGTAAGACCTAGACATGGGTATGACAGTGAGGAGTTTGCCTAAAACTTCCCAGGTCTTTCCTCTTATCATTGTAGAGAGATCATTCTGTTAGGATCTCAAAGCAGGGAAGACTATTCTCCTGGAGGCCAGGAGACCCAGCTTTTTCCAAGAGAAAATTATCATCAGAGTGAACGTCTGTTTGGTCAGGTATTAACTAAATTTGTGTGGTTGCCAAGTTCAATACATGAGCCTTAATTAACCCTCAGGCTTTTTCTCCCCGCACTGTGGCTAATCACAATATGCATGAGAAATTAAAACTAAAAACTAACCAGACCCTCTTTTAAAACTTTAATAGGGATTGTTTTAGAAAGTATTCTATACCTAATACCCTTAAAATAAACACAGTAGTCCCACCTGATCTGTGGTTTCACTTTCCATGTCAACCACAGTCATATATTTATCTTATTGTATGTAATATTTTCATGTATATTATATATCTTATTGTATGTGATATTTCTTATTATATGTAATATTTTTTGACCATGGTTGACCACAGAAAGTGAAACTGCAGTTAAGGGGGGGAATACTATATTTATTTTAAGGGGAGAGATAGAGAGATTCTACAAATTCTACATTATAGAGAGATTCTACAAATTCTACATTATACAAATTTTATTCCAGAATAGTTATAATTGTTCTATTATTATTAGTTACAGCTATTAATCTCTTAGTATGCTGACTTATATATTAAGCTTCAATATAGCTATGTATATATAAGAATAAACATAGCATGTATAGGATTCAGAGTTATCTGTAGTTTCAAGCATCCACTTCAATCACTGGGTCTTGGAAAGTATGCCCCACACATAAGGGAAGACCACTGTTCTTCACATTGTCACTGAGCTTAAGTTCTCAATTCTATGCAAAATAAGTTAAAGTCTCTTCTTGGCTTTAAATAAAAAATAGATCATTTTTTCCTTTATTTTTGGGGGTATCTAAATAAGATATAGTTAATGAAAGAAAAATCAATTCAGAAGTTCAATTTATTTTTTGTGGGGAATAAATCAGGTAATAATCTTGGTAACAAATCTGATGAAATCTTTAACTTTAACATAATAATCCAGATCCACTCTCCAAATTACTAACCCAGTAATTTTAGTCATATAGTTTCCTTTTGCCACAGCCATAGGAATCAAAAGGAAGCTCAAACTTAATTGAGAATGTTTATGTCTATTAGAATCAGTTCACCATCTGTTGATTAAAATAGAACCAGGAAAAAAATCAGAATGCTTATTCTAAAAGCCCATTGAAGCCTAGGTCATTATGAAAAAGCAGATAGGACTCCCCAGGATGCCAGGCTTTGGGAGATCTGTCTCTCTTATCAGTCAGTTCTAAATCTAAGTCATCAAAGCTCTTAATATAAATTCATCACAATGCTATCTTTACTAAGTTGCTAATTTGAGCTAAGTTATTTCATAACCTATTTTTGAATTATCAAGGGAATTCTCCACAATTAAATTTTGTTCACATGTGGGAACCATGCAAGCAAAACAAAACATGTTTGTGGGATAAATATGTTTTGCAGGCAGGTATTTTGTAAGCTCTGAACTAGCATATGAAGAAAGGAGAAAATGATACTGAAAAGTAGCATGACAAATAAAAAGGCATATATAAATAACATACTGACCCATTATTTCAATTTTATATCATTCTGATGGTGTCAAATGAGTATTTTATAACTGCACAAATAATTTAGCACATGAACCCCAGTTAGATATAGCATAAATGCAAACTGTGACCAATAAAGAATTGAGAAAACTGTTTAATTTTTGGAAAAATGAATCAACACATGTCTTATGTTCTGGACTATCATTCTACATTATGAAAAAACAAGATGCATACTTGCTTTCTAGCCTGGTCCTCCAAGAGGATGCTTATAAATACATATTAGATTCTAATATATTCTAGAATGAGCATAATTCTCAAATAATGAATATAGGCTCTTTCTCCTACTCATCATTTGATCTTCGTAAGTCAAAAAGACTGAGTCAGTAATTAAACTGTCCAGATTTCCTAGCCATTTTCTTAAAAGTTCTAGGACTACAGGAAGAGCTTCTCCAGTCCCTCTTTCCCAGTTCCTGGTAATAATGCTTTTCACTTCCAATCTTCCCTCTCCCCATAAAGGCAGGAAGGATGGCACCATACCACAATAGTAAGGAGGCTGAGTAGAAAGCTGGCCAGGAAAATGGAAAGCCCATAAAAATAAAGTGTACTACAGACTGATGTGTTGGCAGAAGGCAGGTATTCGGCCATTGGTGATGGTGGTGAGTGCATCAGGATACACCTAGGGAGGCAATCAATGGACAGGAATACTATTACAGATACAAGATTAGAGAGATGCCTACAAAGCCCAACAAAAGTTAATGTGTATGCAATTTTACTTGTTTTGCTAGTCCTTACCCATAACACCTTGTGTTTTTTCATAAACACATTATACTCTAGTCTCTTTGCACTGTATTTCTACTTGTGTACTTTTAGCCTTGACTACACCTTATTCCAGAGCCTTTTTTTCCCCTAAAGATTTATTTATTTATTTATCAAGCACTGGGTACAGTCAGAAGCACGGGATGGTGAGAGAATTCACCAGAGCCAGAGCGGGGAACAGAACAGGCAGACTGACGAAATACACTGCTGAGGGGAGCAGCAGGCGCAGCAGAAGAGGTCTGTGCGCCATGTGGGACCCTCATCCTGCTGCCGGGGATTGAACTGGCGCTGCAGAGGCTGCGGGCAGCTTTGCAGCCCAGCACTCAACCGCTGCGCCACCAGGGGAGGCCCTCCAGAGCCTATTTTGATTACAAGTACCTTGGCCAGAAGATATGTAGAAAATTTTCCAATCTTTATTTATAGAAAAGTCTTTCATGAAAATTACATATTTATCCTTACCTGTGGCTCTGACTGAAATTGTGAAAACATTCATTGGCATTGCCCACACAGAATACAGGTATCATCAGAAGTAGAGGTATCAAGCTTGGAGGGAAATAAAAAAATTATCAGGGGGAAGAAAGAAACTTACTCAGACTTTTTCATACCCTTTCCTCTTTATAGAATATTCTCCTGTTCTTTTCCTAACTCCATGACTCTCTACAAATACATACTAAATTTCTTTAAGAAAACTATCTCAAAAACCTTAAGTATACCTTCTTTTCTAGTTCCTGCTGAAGTCGAGTGGGGAATGCATTTCAAGGTTAATGAACCCTAACAAAATTTCATAGTCTCTGGGAGTTGTGCATCCAATAAAAATTCAATTGGGTCAAAGTGAAGAAAACTTTACCAAGAAGGTCTGTGCTCAGTCTGTTTCATTTTCCATGATAACCCAGAATAACTTTCTTTTCATCGGCCCCTCCCTAGGAGCCCTTCCTTTAAATAACCAATTATGTATCTAACTAAATATAACCAGCTCCCAGTAAGAGGAAAGGATCCAGTAGGAAAAGTTACAAAGTCTGAAATCAACTTGGATGTGATGACTACTGTCAGTGAGATCCAGACCCTTTCTGGGTTTACTCACTATAAGAATTTCACCCAATGTTATAAAGGTGGATGACACCTTGAAAGCCATTTATAACAATTTTTTATGATACATAAAAAGGAGTTACAGGTCCCAAAATTTAAATATTTGTTGAAGGTCACATAGGGTGAATGACAGAAAAGGGGTTAAAACCCAAATCTGTATCTTCAAACTGCTTGCCTGTTCTATCTTGGAAAGTAGGAGCAATGATGACATATTTGTTGTTTCTTACTTAGTAAGGTTCTATAAGATCTAGGAATGACAGAATCAATGGATATAAAGAACACTGTCCTTTTATTTGTTCCCACCTGCACCCCTGAATGACAGTCTACACCTTATAGGAAGGAGAAAAATCTTACCTTGACAAAATGATCGCTATTTGACCAAGGTGACAAGTGTAATCTCTCACCTATGAGAGTAATGTGAGAGTAATGTCTTAGGAAAGTGCCAATCATGCCAATCATATTATAATACCAAGTCATCACTAACCACTTGATATAACAAAAATTCCCAAGCACCACCTCATTTCTGTTAAGAACTATTTGTTATTCATTGCTATCTCAATAAAATAGGTAGTTCTTTAGCACTGTAGTAAGGATAATTTTATCTGCATTATTATATTCTAAAAGGCAATAATAACAACAGCCACAAAGAAAGACTACAGGAAGTAGCTTAATATAAGAATTGGAAACTAGAACAAATTCTCTTAAGAAGAAAGAATACATGAAATAATATAGTAACACTCTATCTTCTAATAAAGTTTAATCCTCTTCTTTCTTAGATCCTGAGAGATGTAGATTCTTCAGAACTTATGAGTGCAGTGAAAGTCTATGTACACAATGACCAGGAGAAAGTATGACAGGCAAGGGCCTCACTGGTGGTGCAGGCAGTTGAGCGCCGCACTGTGAGGCTGTCCGCAGCCTCTGCAGCGCAGGTTCGATCCCGGCTGGCCAGTGAAAATCCCACATGGCGAGGCAGACCGCTCCTGTCTCGCCCACTGCTCCCCTCAGTGGTGTATTTTATCTGTTCCTCACTCTGTCTCTGGTGAATCTTCTCACCCTCCCACGCATCTGGCCAGTACCCTGGTTCTTGTATAAAAATAAATAAATCTTTTTTTTCATTTAAAAAAAAAAGATTTATTTATTTATTTATACAAGCACTGGGTACAGTCAGAAGCGTGGGAGGGTGAGAGAATTCACCAGAGCCAGAGCAGGGAGAAGAGCAGGCAGAAGGACCGAAGTACACTGCTGAGGGGAGCAGCGGGCGGCAGGAGAGGTCTGTGCGCCATGTGGGACCCTCCTCTGGTGGCCGGGGAGCAGCCGGGGATCGAACCGGCACTGCAGAGGCTGCGGGCAGCCTCGCAACCCAGCGCTCAACCACTGCGCCACCGGGGAGGCCCTTTTTTAAAAAAAAAAAAAAAGAAAGAAAGAATGACAGGCCAGTGTTTGTATAGTAAGATAAGGATCAAATTAGCCCTTTAGATATAAGATCTGTTAGATCTATTTCCTTTTTGGAGAAATGCCTTTTGAGTTCTTCTGCCCATTACTTGACTGGATTGTTTATTTTGTTTTTGTTGAGCTGTGCCCAAAAATAGATGACTGGATCAAGAAGATGTGGTATATAAACACAATGGAATATTATTCAGCAATCAAAAAAGATAAACTCATGCCATTTGCAGCAACGTGGATGGAGCTAGAAGGAATTATGCTCAGTGAAATAAGCCAGAAGGATGGTTTCACTTATAACAGAAATATAGGGGAACCAAATAAGACATCAGTGTAAAAAAAATAATAACAGTACAAAACACAACAAAGCAAAAACAGACAATTACAAACCAGAGATATACTGCAGGGAAGGAGGAGGGAGAGCGGTGAGAGGGAGGGAGGGAGGGGCTCAGGGGACTGTGGTGATGGTGCATGGGTGCCTTGGGGAAGGAAATTCTAGGGGGACTCAATCTGAGGGGGTGGGGGAAGCAAATATTGTCTAAAAAAATTTAAAAATGATAAATGTTAAAATGAAAAAATAAAGTATTATAGAAAAAAAAGATCTGCTAGATCTAGACAAAAGAACATTTCAAAAATCTCTAGCTGGGTTAGACACCATAAAACAATTTACAGAATGGTCCTTAACTACTAAGACTTTATGATTTCGAATAGAAAATCTTTTTTTTAATAAGGATTAATTTTTATTTATTTATACAAGCACTGGGTACAGTCAGAAGCGCGGGAGGGTGAGAGAATTCACCAGAACCAGAGCGGGGAGCAGAGCAGGCAGAAGGACCGAAGTACACTGCTGAGGGGAGCAGTGGGCGGCAGGAGAGGTCTGTGCGCCATGTGGGACCTTCCTCCGGTGGCCAGGGAGCAGCCGGGGATCGAACCGGCACTGCAGAGGCTGCGGGCAGCTTTGCAACCCAGCGTTCAACCGCTGCGCCACCGGGGAGGCCTCAAATAGAAAATCTTAAGAGATAAACTAGAAAACAAGATTTTTTTAAGGCACAGATCATATTATATTCCGGAATAACACTGTTAGGGATTGATAAGAATTAAGTGAACAATTAGTCAATAGTCAGAAATGGGTAACGGATTTGCCCTGAGAAGTCTGAATTAGGAATAGTAAACTATTTCAAGTAGAAAAGCCATATAGAATAGATAGGAAGCATTCCTGGAAGAAGACAGGGCTCAAAGAAAAACTTCGCAGAAATTTTATCACACAATTTTATGATTCCCATGGACTGGTAAACAAGAGGTTAAAAACCTGATGTTAGGCCTGGACACCAGGTGCCATTTTGTTGTCATTTTGTCTTTTTACTACTTTCCCCCAGCCTGGCATACCTGAGTTTTCTTTCTACAGTTTATTAACTTGGATGCTATGAGGAAAAGGGAGTAAAGACCCCAAATAAAAGGGAGTCACAGATCTTGAGACTAGAGCTATTCAACCTGGAGCTGCAGGCACATCACCTCCATGAGATATTCACCTTGGAAGAAATGGTCGTGAGCCCTGCTCTACCACCAAGCCGCAGCTGATTGGTGCCCACAACTAGCAACAGTAAGTGGACTTTAGTCAAATCCACTTTCCTTATTATCCTAGCCAAAGAAGTTTAATTCTTTCGTTTTCAAACTTCATTCTTAAAACTTAAATAGACACTTAGCCCCAGAAACTCAGCAAGTCTCTCTGATGCCCAGAGAAATCTCCCTAGTGTTCTTTCCTTGCCTTTTTTTTTTTAAAGACCTCAACAGATTCCTTTTTTTTTTTTTTAAGATTTATTTATTTATTTATACAAGCACTGGGTACAGTCAGAAGCACGGGAGGGTGAGAGAATTCACCAGAACCAGAGCCAGAGCTGGGAGCAGAGCAGGAAGAAGGACAGAAGTACACTGCTGAGGGGAGCAGCAGGCAGCAGGAGAGGTCTGCGCGCCATGTGGGACCCTCCTCCGGTGGCCGGGGAGCAGCTGGGGAACGAACCGGCGCTGCAGAGGCTGCGGGCAGCCTCGCAACCCAGCGCTCAACTGCTGCGCCACCGGGGAGGCCCCTTTTTCCTTGCTTTTTTTTGCTAATCAATGAACACTGAATTGCTCCTTGCCCTCACTGGTGTCTGTAGAGTCCTATTTTCAATCTTGACCAGAGGATCCCTAGAGCCCTTTCCTGGCCTGGGAGCAGGACCCCTAGTTCCATTCCACTGGCTCCCAGTGGGGAGAGCAGTGGACAGAGGCTGGTATGCTCCTAGCTTATCCATTTGTGCTACAGGAGATGCGGGGATTGGGCTGAGGGGTTATGGGCCCCCATCCCTTGTCTGGTGACATTTTCTCTAACTAAAATGGGAAATTAGTAAAATTAGTCTTTGGTGACCTCTCCTATTCAGTCTTTGGTGACCTCTTCTATTTAGATCCTCCTTTTTTTATTCTTTCCTGTACTCATCAGGAGGTTTCCTATGTTTAATTCTTATTCTTACATGATTATCAATGAATCTCTGATAATAGGCATAGTGATAATAGTTTAGGGCAGAAGCCTTGTGAGGGTATTTAAAAAAATCTTTGAGGCTCCTGGTATAAACCTACAACGACAGAATAATAGTGGGGTTAAAATTCTAGAGGAGTTTGTCTTCTTGGAACAGTGTCATAGCACAGGTGATAAAGAAAAGAATGGTATATGCATTTTCAAGCACAGAAGCAGTAGAGTATGAGAGCTAATCTTATGTCTACCCCTTCCTTTTCCTTCAAAGATTGATTCGTTCTGCCGCCAACAGTGCACATCTCAGAAAAATACTCTCCTACGTTGTCTCAATCCTTGGTTTTTGATATAATGGCAACTTCTTTAAGGAATGATTGCATGGTTGAATAATTTCTCCCCAAAAACTCCAGTTAGTCTTTTGGCTTCTGAATGAATTAATTCTGCTACCTATAAGGTGGCTGAACTTTTTAGATATTCATCTGCTTGAAGGGAGGAAAGTGAACTAATTGTTTCTTTGCATTATCTTGCAGCCCTAGGATTCTATTAATATGTAGACAAACATGTAAAAGAATAGACAGCCATTAATCAAAGAAAGTGAAGGAAAAGATAAACCGGGGCCTCCCTGGTGGCGCAAGGGGTTAATACGCAACCTATGAAGCTATATGCAGCCACTGCAGCACAAGTTCAATCCCCAGCCAGGGAGATGATCCATGTGGTGCAGTAGACCTCTCCTATCTCGCCCACTGCTCCCCTCAGCAGTGTGTTTCAGTCAATCTGCTTGTTCGGTTCCCCACTCTGTCTCTGGTGAATCTTCTCACCCCCCCACACCTCTGGCCTGCACCCCAGTTCTTGTATACATAAATAAATAAATCTTAAAAAAAAAAAAGCTTGAAAAAGCCATCGAAGGCTCCAGGACTCCTCCTTTAAAAAAAAAAAAGAAGAAGAAGAAAAGATAAACAGCTGGCATTACACCAAACTAAAAAGCTCTGTACAGCAAAAGAAATAATAACCAAAACTAAGAGACACCCTACTGACTGGGTGGAAATACTTACACTCCATACAACTGATAAGGGACTGATTTCAAAGATCTACAAAGAGCTCACATGACTCAACAAAAACAAAGCAAACAATCCAGTCAAAAAATGGGCAGAAGAGCTAAAAAGACACTTCTCCAAAGAGGAAATGCAAATGACCAACAGGTATATGAAAAAATGTCCAACATCACTTATAATCAGGGAAATGAAAATCAAAGCCACAATGAGATACCACCTCACACTGGTGAGAATGGCCTATATTAAAAGAACTGACAACAACAAATGCTGGTGAGTAAAAGGAACTCTCTTACATTGTTGATGGGAGTGCAAACTGGTCCAAGCACTATGGAAAGCTGTGTGGAGGACCCTCCAACTACTGAAAATGGAGCTACCATAGGACTCTGTTATTCTACTGCTAGGAATCTACCCAAAGACACGAAAACATTAATTCGAAAGGAAACATTCACTCCTATGTTTACTGCAGCACTATTCACAATAGCTAAGATATGGAAACAACCCAAATGCCCAAAAACAGGTAACTGGATCAAAAAAATGTGGTATTTATACTCAATGGAATACTATTGAGCAATCAAAAAAGATAAACTCATGCCATTTGCAGCATCCTGGCTAGAGCTGGAAGGGACTATGCTCAGTGAATTAAGTCAGAAGGAAAGAGAAAAAAAAAATCAGATGGTTTTACACATAGGAGCAACACAGGGAAACCAAACACAGATCAGGAAAAAAAAAAGACAAAACTTCAGGCAAACTATAAATCGGTGACATTCAGTGGGAAGGGGAAGGGAGAAGGATCAAAACAGAGGAGGGAAGAGTATAAGAGACTATAGTGATGGTTCATGGGTGTCTTGGTGGTGGGAATTTTATGGGGATTATACCTGAGAGGAGAATGAATGATGTAAAAAATAAATTAAAAATAAAAAAAAATTTTTTTAAAGGGATTCTCTAAAGCTCTTAAGAAAACTTGTGTGTTTTTCTCCTGTGCTTTTTCAAACTTCTAAAAACCTCTCAGCCTGGCTGGATTTACATTCCCGAGGCTATGTTTCAGAGGCCTCTACATTTTTTGTGAGCGTCCACTCTAGCCCAGCGGCAGGTCAGACTCCAGCCAGTTTTATCTTTACTGTCCCTGTCTCTAACATGATACGGAAGGAGATGTGGGGCTCTCCTGGGTTTCTCAGCAAAATAAAGGGGATAATGAGGGGATCATTGAAACTTTCCTCTATACCTCCCCCTTCCCTCTATCTCTCTCTCTCCCCCAAATTTTATAACACTTCTGCAGGCATTTAGAAATGTAACTTTTTTTTTTAAAAAAAAGATTGATTTATTTATTTATACAAGCACTGGGTACAGTCAGAAGCGCGGGAGAGAATTCACCAGAGCCAGAGCGGGGAGCAGAACAGGCAGAGTGACAAAATACACTGCTGAGGGGAGCAGCGGGCCGCAGGAGAGGTCTGCGCGCTATGTGGGACCCTCGCCCGGCGGCCGGGGATCGAACCGGCGCTGCAGAGGCTGCGGGCAGCTTCGCAACCCAGCGCTCAACCACTGCGCCACCGGGGAGGCCCTAGAAATGTAACATTTTTGTATATTTATTATGTAACCTGCAACTTTACTGTATTTGTTTATTATTTTTTAAAAGATTTTCTTTTTTATTTATACAATAGCTGGGGTGTAGGTCAGAGGCGTGGGGGGGGTGAGAGGATTCACCAGAGACAGAGTGGGGAGTAAAACAGGCAGACTGAAAACACTGCTGAGGGGAACAGCGGGCGCGACGGGAGAGGTCTGCTGTGCCGTGTGGGAATCTCCCCAGCGGTCTGGGAATCGAACCCACACTGCAGAGGCTGCAGACAGCCTCACAGTGCTGTGCTCAACCTGCTGCACCACCAGGGAGACCCTGTATTTGTTTATTTTTTTTTTTCCTAACATATTTTGGTGAGTCTTTAGGATTTTCTGCTTAATATGCCATCTGCAAATAGTGACAGTTTTTACATATTCTTTTCCAATTTGAACACATCTTATTTGTTTTCTTGGCTAATTGTTCTGACTGGAAGCTTCTAGTGCTATGTCAAATAGTAATGGTAAGAGTGGGCATCCTTGTTTCTGCTCTTAGCAGAAGAGTCTTCAGTTGTTTACCATTTAGTATGATGTTAGATACTGGCTCATACTACTCTTAATTATCAGCTCTGAATAAAACTTACCAGGGAAGAGGTGCTCTGTCCTCTCTGGTTGTGTTTCATCCTCAGTTCTTTGTACAAATACCAGATGTAATTGACAGTGTAGAAAAATGAGGAAATGTAGAATATCTAGGTAAAAAAAAAAAATCAAAACAAATCATCATAACTGCATTTCCTTCAACGTACTGTTTTTTTCTACAATAAGAATCCTACCTATTGGTCTATAAGTAGCTTAACTATCCATACCATGAAAAACTGGATCAAATCAAGAATTCTATCCAGGCCTAAATATGCCTGTTTGCTTATTTTATCCTTTTAAATATTCTGAAGAACAGCAGCATTACCCACCTCCTCTCACTCAGCTTTTTCATTTTTATGAAGATACTATAGAAACTTTTTCTATTTTATTTCTTAATTGAAAAGATCATAAGGATTTTCATTTCTGCTAGCCTAGGTTATTTGAACCAAATTTTCCATTCAAAAGAATCAAACATGTTAAATAAAACATTTTTATTTCTTTAAACGCATCAAAGCACTGACAATATAGCAAGGAACCAGCAGGACAAAATTCAAGGAAGGAATTTCTGTAGTACCTTTGATGAAATAAAGGCTGCCTGATGGCACAAAGGACCAAGTTGCAGCACTATGAAGCTATCTGCAGCCATTGCAGCACAAGTTTGAGCCACACGGCACAGCAGACCTCTCCTGTCTCCCCCACTGCTCCCCTCAGGAGTGTATTTCAGTCAATCTGCCTGTTCTGTTTCCCACTCTGTCTCTGGTGAATCCTCATCATCCCCTTCACCTCTGGCCTGTACCCCAGTTCTTGTATGCATAAATAAATAAATCTTAAAAAAAAGTTTCCCTCCAGGGCATCCCCGGTGGCGCAGTGGTTGAGCGCTGGGTTGCGAGCTGCCCGCGGCCTCTGCGGCGCCGGTTCGATCCCCGGCTGCTCCCCAGCCACCAGAGGAGGGTCCCACATGGCGCGCAGACTCTCCTGCCGCCCGCTGCTCCCCTCAGTAGTGTACTTCGCTCCTTCTGCCTGTTCTGTTCCCCCCTCTGGCTCTGGTGAACTCTCTCGCCCTCCCGCACTTCTGACTGTACCCAGTGCATGTATAAACAAAAACAAACAAACAAATAAATAAATAAAAACATGCCTCTTAAAAAAAATAATAAAAAAAAATAAAAAACTATTAAAAAAAAAAAAGTTTCCCTCCAGCTTAAAAAACTAAAATCTAAACAAAGTATATTAAAACACTTTTCAAACACTGGGAAGCAATCCAAAAAGAACAATAATCTTTGATTTTTTGGTTTTTTTTTTAAGATTTATTTATTTATATAAGAACCGGGGTACAGGCCAGATGTGTGAGAGGGTGAGAGGATTCACCAGAGACACAGCGGGGAACAGGACAGACTGATGAAATACACTGCTGAGGGGAGCAGCGGGCGCAACAGGAGAGGTCTGCTGCGCCATGTGGGACCCTCACCGGCCGGCTGGGATCGAACCTGTGCTGCAGAGGCTGCAGACAGCTTCACAGTGCAGCACTCAACCACCTGCGCCACCGCGAAGGCCCCAGAACAATAATCTTTGAAAGTAGAAAAACAAGCATCTTGAGCATAACAAGTGTCCTAGATCACTAGCTGTAAAAAGTGAGTGCAGTAGGAGGAAATCCAAGCAGGAAATTCAAATTTTTGGTGAGTTGAGGAGACAAAGTGCACCTTTTGGGAAGGTCAAGGCAACTAAAATTTCTTTAACAAGGGAGTAAGTCCACTTTTATGTACTGCTTTTCAATCTGTTGAAGTCCTCGAGGGGTAAAGTATCATGTGTATCCTATGTTATACACACATAGCAGGAAGGTTGCTTTGGAATTTGGTGTGAATCATGCTAGTTTCCATGGGAACATGTTACTGTTCCCCAGATTACTCTAGTTTATTTGGTTTGCCACAAGGAGTCACTATATTCTTGAAGTGTGCAAACATAAGCACACCCCTTGTCTACAAACACCTTCAAATTTTTCCCATTTTTTAAATATTTTATTTTATTTTATATATTTTTACATCATTTTTCATTTTTGTGCAATGTGTGCATTTTCATCTTGGTTATATTCTGGTTTTGGAGACCCCACTTACAGCCAGCAAAATAACCTTGCACACAACCTTCCAGCCCTATTATAGAGGTCCTGTTCCCAAAAGGTCTTAGTTATTTGCCCCCAAATCTCAGCAACAGGAGGGTGCAGAGCAAAGCAGTGGGGGTGAAGGTGGGGTTTCAGCAGCCCACTGAGGAGGACTACAGGCACCACGGGGTGGGTGTGGTGTGGCAGCGTACATCTGAAGAGGTATGAGCCTGTGCCACAGAATCAGAGAGTGTTGTAAATCAATGTTATCTCAAAAAAAAGTTAAAAAAGTTAAAACAATGAAAAGCACACTAAGTGAGACACAAAAGGTCACATATTGAGTGATTCTATTAATACAAAGTATATGGGTTGGGGAGTTGGGAAATACTGCTTAATGAGTAAGGAACTTTACTTGGGAATGATAGAAATGTTTTGGAACTAGACAGATATGATAGCTGTACTACATTATGAATGTACAAAATGCCACTCAACTATTTCACTTTACATTTAAAATGGTTAATTTTGTTCTATGAATTGTATCTCAATAAGTTTTAAAAATTTGTCAAAGTACATTATCAAGAAAATGAAAAAGCAACCTAAAGAATGGGAGAAATATTTGCAAATCATGTCTGGTATGGGCTTATTATTCAGAATACATAAAAACTCTTACAACTCAAGAATCTAAAGAGAAGCAACCCAATTAAAAGTGAGTAAAGTACTTGAATAGACATTTCTCCAAAGAAGATACACACAAGTGGCAACAAACACAGGGAAAGATGTTCAATATCACAAATCATTAGAATACAGATCAAAACCACAATAAGGTTCCATTTCCAAACTACAAGAATGGCTGCAGTTTTTTTTTAAAAAAATCTTTCAAAATGACTGTCAGACACAATGTGGGGAAATCAGAACGCCTGTACATTGCTGATCCAAACACAAATGGAAAAACAGTTTGGTGCTTTCCCAAACAGTTAAACACAGTATTACCACAGTCATGAATTGCTTAATAACTGGAATACATTTTGAAAACCTCTTGTTCGGCAATTTCACAGGTTTATGAATACCACAGGGTATAATTATATGAAACTAGATATATAGCCTACTAAATACCTAGGCTGTCGAGTACACTCTTATCGGCTCCACTATTTATGTGCAGTCTGTCACTGAGCTAATGACACAAGCACCAAGCGTTGTATAAAATTCAACAATTACACTCCTACGTATATAACCAAAAAAAAAAAAAAACAAAAACAAAACAACCGAAAACAAACAAAGTGGACAATGACATAGAGTAAATGTGAATCCTGACATGACTGCACACCAGTCCTCTGGTCAACAGTCTCCCCTGCCTCCCAGCACCAGTGTGCCCTCTGTGACACACAGATAAGACACTCCAGGGAGCATGGTTTTATTCATCGATCTGATTCTCTTGTCCTTTACTTTCCTCTTGCTGTCAGTTAGAGACATTCTCTGCAAAGGAAACATAAACCTTAAGAAGCAATAGTAATTTCATTTTATCCCAGTAGAGGGAACCAGAAACTATATTTGAATGATTCATCTATCCCACCACTAGTTACATAAACTTTCTAAATTTGATCTTTCTTGACTGTTCTTAACTTTGACAATTGTGATTAACATTACCATTCTTTAAAATCACGTAGAAGTGATTAATTATAAATTTATCATCTCGACTACTTTATATACTTTTGAGAAGCTCAGGTTCATGAAATCTATTATCTTTATTTTCCTAAAATCAAAGTGTGTGTAGCAGTTATTGGATGGCTCCCGTGATTAAGGACTAGTTAAGTATTTTCTGAATATGTTGGGACCAGTTTTCAAAAGATCTTTTCTGTAAAGGTTTTCATGATCAAAGAAAGAAACTAGAAATCTAGATTCAGAAATTTGGGTATCTTGTTTGTTTAGATCGGATGACGGGTTCTCTTTCTTTACTGTGACTCTTGGAAAATCACTGGTCTCTTCATCTGCTTATGAAAACAAGGAATGTCCTTTCTCCTCCCACTCCCAGCTTTTTCCTCAAGAACCATTTAGAGGAGAATTTTGAAAAGTAAAGACATTTAATCTAAACTGACCAAACTGTGAAAGCCAGAGATAGAAAAGGAAAGTGAACTTTTACCTTTTATTTGCATACCCCTCTTAATATTCTAACTTTATAGGGTACTTATATAATTTTACAAGTTATACATACCAAATTTTTTCATATAGAAAAAATTAAAAGTGAAAATGTTCCATTTTAAAGGAAAGCATGTATTTCGGTGTTGGTTTCCAGGTCTATAAACAGTGTTTTAAACTAGGTAACATAATGCTCCAGTAACAGAGAAAAGAGTAAGGTTTAGGTTTGCTTTTATTACATAGTAAGAAATATAAATTTGGTTTCTGCTACTGGTTTCTGACACAAAGCTCCTATAACCCCTCTGGAATTTTCTGGATGATAGAGCATCTTTTGTTCTATTAGGCAATTCTTGGTGGATAGCTTCAGAATGGGGCTGGCCACTAGATACATCAAGCCATAATTCAAGGCTTGGAATTATCAGCCCAGTCCTCATGATATGGAGAGGGGCCAGAGATTGAGCTAATTAATAACTGATCATGACTACATGATGAAACCCTCCCCCAAAATCTCTGAACTATGAGATTCAAAGATCTTCTGAATTGGTAAACAAAATTCATGTACCAGAAGAGTGGCACAGCCCAACTCCATGGGACAGAAGCTCTGGTACTCAGGACACTCTCAGATCTTACCCTATGTACCTTTGTAATAAACTGGTAAATACAAGCAAGTATTTCCCTGAGTTTTGGGACCCATTATTGCAATTCTTGAACCTAAAGAGGAGGTCATAAGAATTTCCAATTTGTAGCCATGTCAGATAAACATATAAGTAATCTGGGGACCCACTTATTGCAACTGGCAACATACGTGAAGTGCAGTTTTGTGGTACTAAACCCTTGACCTGTGGGTTCTATGCTAACTCTGAGAAGTTACTGTCAAAATTGAAT